CGGAATAGGTTACTTAAAAGTTACAATAAAAGTTTAATATAACCACGAAGTATTTGTACGAGTAGGCATAGATCAACCCTCTAAATTTTGATCGTTAGAAATTTTGATAGCAAAACTATGTCTTAATATGCTAAAATTCCAACGGAATCGTTAGAAACTATCAACAAAGACCTAGACTCTAGCATAGACTTTATTCAATTTTGTTCCGTGTGTACTTCATGCAGAAATTCTAGCACTTTACCTTCATTCCATCAAGAAATTCCTCTAGTTCTTTATCTATTAAATGACCATCTTATCTAAAAGCTTAAATTTATAGGTGAAGCCCTAGAATATAATTTATATTAGTCTTTAACACACTCCCTCAAGTGAAAGCCATTTAGGTTTGAAACTTATAATATCTTCCTAGACCAATCTACAATGAAGCAATCCTCTCGTAAACAATAGTATTTGGATGAAACCTCTACTTAAAGATCCAAACTCTTTTAGTTCTTTAACAAGATCTTGGTTGATTGAAGTTGGAAAGTCTAGAGATGGTAAACAATAGCTTTTGCATCCACTTTTAGATCAAGAAATCAACATCTCTCCAACATGGCCGAACTTGCTTGACTTTCGATTTGTGCCATTAGGTAGATGTTTTTCTCTTTAAGAGCAAACATAAAAATTTGTTTTTGGAATAAATGAGGCTGTGTTGTTTCCTATATATGCTAGTTGTAAGAATGAAAGGGACATTGGAATTTTGGCTATCTATCATGAAGGGAAATTGGGTTATTGGAAATATGGAGATTGGCAATGGACCTTGTTAGATGCTAGGAATTTTCAATATGATGATATTGTTGTGTTTAAGGGACAGGTTTATGTTGTTAATAAAAAGGGGCAATTTCTCATATTAATTCTTCACTAAGTGTGATTTTGTGTTCACCTTTGCTTTATAGTTGTAGCGGTTAGATGAATTTGGTGGAGTCATACGGAGATCTTTATATTGTTGATAGAAATCTTAATAGAAAAAGAAGGACAAGGAAAGATTAAGAGAATGTCATGGATAATAGGAACCATTTAGGTAGATTTGCAAGATTCAACATGAAGAGACATCCTAATATGGTCAACTTTAGAGTTTATAAGCTTGATGAGGTGTTGGTTAGACGGGTTAAAGTGAAATCTCTTGAGGATTAAGTCTTTGTTACGTGTACCGATTACTCTTTCCCGATTTCATGTCCAAAGTTCAATGAAGGTAAAGGGAAATGTATTTATTTCACGGAAGATGATGATTACTATGAGGGTTGTGGATTGAATGCTGTTAGCATTCGTTTGTTTTAGTTAGATTATGGAAGAGTTCAAAAAATAATAGAGATTTGTGAGTTCTCTTATATATTTTGGCCATGTAACATTTTCTTCTACTTAGAATAAATCAATCTTGGCTCGGATGTTGCATTCAAGTACTAAAGACAAGTTTGTCTACCTATTTAACTTAATCGGTTGCAACTTAAATAGTGTTGCTTATTTTTGTTTTAATTTTGAAACCTTGGATTCGGTAAGACGTGGTGGCTATAAATTTGTTGCCTTCGATCATTTTCGTTTAGTTGCCATACTATATTACTTAAGAACATACAAGAATTTCATCGACCCTTGATTTGTTTGCATATTTCTTTTCTCTTTTTTTTTCTTTATGTGTTTTCATAATGATAATAAATGCCATTAACTAATCTCACAAAACCAAAAGTATTTAGTATAAAGGCATTTTTGTTAGATGAATTTAGACTTGCAATATTTTCTATTTAACCGAGTTGATGACCAAAAACTTAAGGCTTAAATAAAAGTTGAATAGGTACATAAATCTCTCTAGTTTCTAAGTGAAGTTCTTAATTTAATAGTAGTGTTTTGCATTTAGAATGTTGGTGAATAAAGGATACGGAAGTAGGGGATATAGCGTGCATGTGTTTGTTCTTTTAGATAATTCAACATTTTTATTATTGGAAGCTAGGATTCAAAGAGAGTATGGTTTTTTCTTTTACCCCTTTCTTGTTATTGTCCTTAAAATGATGGCTACAATTGAAGAATTGAGGAGATAATATGAATTCAAGATGAAGAAGTGAAGGCTATATGGGATCACAATTAGCATATTTGCAAAGCTTTAGGGAATGTTTACTATTGTTTGCTTATTACATTATGTTTTAGTTTTTGCCTTGGAACATTGCAAGCATGTTTTTATTTCTTTTTATTTAATTTTATTTCATTTTTGATAAGTGAGAGCACTATTAAACAAAAGTTTTAGTGTAGATGTCTAAGATCATACTTTGTTTTGGATAGATTTGACTTATTATAATATTGTATTTTTTATTCTATTAATAAAAAAAGTATTTTTATTAATTCTTGTTGTTTATATTTATTGATAGAATTAGATAGAAGTTCATAAGATAGGTATTGTATTAATGATTGATCAAAAGATGTTGGACAAACATTAATGCACTTAAATGATATCATTAAATATCGTAAGTTGTAGCATTATCAAGAATGGACATTGGCTATATGCGATAAGACTTGTAAGTGTCATGCTTATGTTATAAGATAGCGAGTAGAAGATCTCATATCTATTGACAGGTGATGCCAAAAAAAGCACTTAGGTAATTAATGTTAGAGAACATATCACTAGACTTGATCGGTCATGAGAACTCATTTGGTTTAGTCCATGAGAATCTCATACAAGATAGGTACGAGTAACTCTTTTGACTTAAAGTCATCACAATTATCTCATTAGAGAATTTATGTGCTTTGACACTCATTTTGATAGGCTCGGTCAAGAGCTGCATGTGGACAATTTGTTGGGTGCACTAAAATTCTAATAAAGATACATGGAAGACTAAGATAAGACATGACATTGACTATATGAAGTAAAACTTGTAAGTGTCATGCTTATGTTATAAGATAGCGATAGGAGATCTCATAACTATTGACATGATGATGCAAAAAAAAAACACTTAGGTGATTAATATTAGAAAGCATATTACTAGACATGGCTCACCATGAGAACTCATTTGGTTTAGTTTATGAGAATCTCATACAAGATAGGTACAACTTGGTCTTTTGACTTGAAGTCATCACGGTTATCTCATTAGAGGATTTATGTACTCGACACTCGTTTTGATGGGCTTAGTCAAGAGTTGCATGTGAGTGATTTGTTGGATGCACTAGAAATCTAATAGAGATAGATGAAAGACTAAGATAGAATATGTCATTCTTTATATGCTAAAGGATTTATCACATTGCACTTCGATAAATTTCTACTCAAAGAATCTCGTGATCATAGTAGGAGTATACCAATAGATCATAGTTGGCTTACTCTAGAGTTAAGATATTTGGGAATCGAAGAAAATTTATGTAATCATAATCGAATAGACTAAAAACTAAGTTCGAGATCACATTGTGATAAACTAACATGAGGACTAAATTGTATGGTAACAATGCTCGTTAAAAGTAATTGTGGATTGATTAATCCTTTTAGAAAATTTGGTAGTCATGATGCTTTATTAGAGGCTAAATCTTGATTTATGTATTAAGAGATAAAAGAGGTACCTTTTATTCTTGATACATGGCCAACACATTTAGGAGACTATTGAGTTACACACATAACTTTAAGCATTCGGGTAATAAAAGAGAAGCAAATTTTTTTGAAAAGATTTCCAGTTTTGAAAGTTTTCTATTTTGAAAAAAGTTTTTCAAAAATAAAATGTTTCCTATTTAAAAAAAAATCATAAAATGAAAAGTTTTCTATTTTAAAAATCGATTTTCTAATTTGGAAGTCAATTCCAAATTTGAAAGTAAATTACTTAAAAAGAAAATTAGTTTCCTAATTTAGGTTTAAGGATAATTTGAGAAATTGTTTCATAATGTGAACTTCATAAAAATATCTAACCCAATTTATTTGAATAGTTCAAATTAATTGATAATTAATTACACCAAAAAAGTTTGGATCAATAAGCTTAATTTAAAAGCTTCTAAAATATTTTTGTAGGAGGATAAACTTGAGCCATATTGGATAATGATCAAGCTTCATAAGGATAAGATCAAAAAAACCTACATACATTAAACTTCTAGTCTTTGGAGGACTAGGAAACAACAACCTATAGTCCATATATGACTTGTTGCTACTACTTCGTTGTCCTTGGAGGACAAGACAAGAAAAGCACTCCCTCTATAAATAGAAAAGATATGTCTCACAAAGAGAAGAAAAGAATTAAGAGATACATGGCATAAGAAAAGGAAGAGAGAAAATAATTTTCTCTTCCTAAAAAATCATGTCAACTCTCTCCCTCTCTCTTAGGGTTGTTGCAAAATATCTCGAAATAAATTTTTAAAGAGAAAAATTAAATAAGCTAAAAAAATATGAAACTAGCACTCAATAACTTTTGATTATTTCTTGTGTGGGTACTTGGACTGTATAGATAATCAATAGAAGTCGGATATTTGGACAACCTTTTTTTTTTTTTTTTAAGTTGAAAAGATTAGGGAAAAAAAAAATACACCCACACATGTATAAACGGGTGGACGCAGAAGCAGGTGAACAAGGAAGCATACACATAAAACTAAATAATTCCTTAATCATCTCTTCTTTTTTCATACTAATTTGAAAACAGATAATTTTTTAGCTATTTTGTGTAAGTATGGATTATACGAAATTCTCTATTTTGATAAATTATATGAAATTCATTTTCATGAATTACATGGACTTTATCGTGAATATATGTTTCGTTGAAGTCAATATTTTGTTATTGTAGCTCCTGTAATAATTTATCAAGCATCGAAAAAGGTGATTCCCAAACAATGCCACTAGTAATTATCTTGGTTGAGTTGATTGACTAGACCAAAATAAGTCTCTTTATAGTCCACGCATAAACAAAAAGCAAAGCATTCAAGGGGTCAAGAAACCATCCTTCTTCACGCCAAACTTCTGAGACAGTAAAATGATTAACGTTCAATGGCCAGATCTTCCAAAAGAACTGTAAGAAATGATCAGCAAACGCTTAGATTCTCGTGTCGACATACTTCGCTTTCGTGCTGTCTGTACTTCATGGAGATGCTCTGTCTCTTTACCTTCATTTGATCAAGAACTTCCTCTCATCCTCGACGTTCCTGACCCAATTTCTGTTGCCGCACTTCTCTTTCAGACAACAATTTCTCGCATGGAACTTGTACGTAAAGATCCTAACTCTTCTTCTCCTTCTCTATCTAAAACTTGGTTGGTTAAAGTTGGAGAGTCAAACTATGGCAAGTTGCAGCTTTTCAACCCCCTTACAAATCAAGAAATTAAGCATTGTCTTGCGCCTTTGAGCTTGGATGAATTTATGTTTGTGGAGTTAAGTAAAGCTTTTCTACTTAAATTGCCAAGTGGGTCATCTGTTTTTGGAATAAATAAGGTTGTTCTGTTTCCTGTCTCTGCAAATTCTAGTGATGGAACTGAGTTTGGAATTTTGGCTATTTTTCATGAAGTAGAGTTGGCTTATTGGAAATATGGGGATGAGAATTGGATTTTATTGGATACTCTAGAGAATGCTCAATATGATGATATTATCGTGTACAGGGCGCAGGTTTATGTTGTTGATAGATGGGGGACGGTTTCTTGGATTGATTCTTCGTTGAATGTGATTCAATACTCACCTTCGCTGTATAGTTGTGGTGGGCAAAAGCATTTGGTGGAGTGCTGTGGAGATCTTTATGTTGTTGATAGGTATCTTGATGGAGAAAGAAGGAAATGGGAAGAGATTGAGGGTTTAGTGGATAGCGACTATGAGATTCCACCTTTTGTGGGATTCAGCCCCTAACATCCTCCTAAGGCGGTAGATCTTAGAGTTTATAAACTAGATGAAGAATGGGGTAAATGGATTGATGTAAAATCTTTAGATGATAAAGTCTTTGTTTTGGGGATGGATTGTTCCTTTTCATTTTCAAGTAGAGAGTTTAATGGAGGCAAAGGGAATTGCATTTACTACGTGGACAACGATGATTATGTGGATACCGGACTGAGTCCTGAGAGCATTCATGTGTTTCACTTAGAGGATCGGAGCATTTACAAACTTGCAGCGATTCCCGAGTTCTCTGAGATATTCTGGCCACCCAGAAATGGCTCCTCATTGTAAATCAATCTAGATCTGGATTGACACGGGAGTGTTGCATTCTACATGCTCTAGGCCGTGAGTTCCAAGCTAGATTGGGCATGACATTAAGGCCGAATGGTTCAAGCTATTTGAGTCGAAATATTGTAGCCTTTAATTAATTTTATTATGTTTTTTAGGTGTTTTATTTTATCCTATTTGTATTTGCATAACATTCCTACCTATGTTCGGAACTTATTTAGTTCATATTTTTTTACGAATCCATATTTAATTTATATTGGGTTAATTAATCGTTATTGAGTTTAGATTGGATTTAAATTCAAATAGATTTAGGTTATTATTCTTTCTAATTGCTAAAATTTATGCTTGAATATTTAAGCATCTTGTATATATATATATATAAAAGAGTTTTGATAAATTTTGAATAGACTTGGGAAATCTTTTCTTCCAATATTATGTATTCTTGTGCTTAGCTTAGGAATACGTTTCGTATTCTTGACTTGATCAATTAAGGGGGTGTTATCGATTACTATTTACCGAGGTTATTCTAAATCTCGACAAAAATCAACTAAATCTTGATTGCTTTGTGCTTAGTAAGTTTCAGCCAATCCATATTTTAGAGCTAGCTAATTTTTAGTTATTTTGGAATTTGTGTTTGTAGATTGATTGTTGATTGCTACTTGGAATTATTGAAGAATTGATGATTGTTGATTTGGTTAATAGTTGAATTTATGGAATGCTTGTTGGAGCTTTCTTGGTATTTGTTGTTTGTTTGTTTCGATTCTATTGATCTTCACAAGATTGGTGTCATCTTTTATTAGAGCTGAGGTTTGCCTTTCGCTCGTGTTTTTGACAAAGTTTTGTGAAGATGCATCTACGAAGGAAAAAAATAATGACTAATGCTGAAACAAAGGGAGTTGAAGCTTATATGGCGGAAACTTGTAGAGTATGAGATGAGAGACATTGTAGCTCAAACTAATGAGTCCAAGATTGAGGAGAAATTAGAAGGAGAGAACCCTTTTCCAACATCTATAAATCAAATCATTTGAGGAAGAATGGTTTGTGCATCTTTAATGGTGCATACGAAGAGACCACATCAAGACTTCAATGTTAAGGTAGATATACCTTTGAGAGAAGACTAAACTCTAATGATTTCATTGAGTGGATACACATGATAAAGAAGGTGTTTGACTATAAGGATCTGCTAGATAAAAAGAAAGTCGAAATTATGGCAATCAAGTTGAAAAAGAATGCTTTCATCTAGTGGGAGAACTTGAAAAGACAAAACTCGCGAAGGCAAGAGCAAATTCTCGGCTTGGAGAAGATGGAGAAAACCTTGAATCGTAAGTATCTTTATGTTTACTATAAACATAATAATTATCTTAAATTTCATATCTCTAGGCAAATGGATTTAAGTGTTGAGGCTTATGCCTTTGAATTTTAACACTTAATACTTAAGTGTGAAATTAATGAATCTAATAACATATTACTTGCTAATTTTTAAGGCAAATTGAAACCGAAGATTGCCGGTGTAGTGCAATTACAACGGTAATGGACTTTGCATAATATTGTTAAACTTTCTTTAAAGGTGGAATGACATTAGAAATCTTTAATGTGGAGTAGTGCAAGGGTCTCGACTAACTAGGATTCCTATACCTAGTCTTGGAGTGGTTCAATCGGGAGAAAAAGAAGCTCGAGGTTCCAACCGAACCAAAGACAATTGGTTCAAACAATAATTCTCAAAAGTATTTTACATGTCATGGTTTTGATCACATTGCTTCAGACTATCCATATTATAGGGTCATGAATTTTGTAAAAGAGGTAGAATGTGTTAAAGAATGGGATGATTGATCATTGATGGGTGTCATTTTGAAATGTGGTTGTCATAAAGAAGGTAGAAAAGTTTAGTTTGACGAGTTTTTAATCCTTTTATCCATATAAGTTGACTTGGCCATAAAAAGAGAATGAACTCAAGGTATTGCGAGTCCTCATGCAAAACACTAAATTAAGATTCAATACTAACTTTTTAATGATATGAAGATTTTAAATTCACAAGCAATAAAATAATGAAAATTCTTAAGAACCATAATACTTCATAAATCAACAACTTTGACAATTTAAGAATTAATCAATATGATAATTTTCATTCAAAACATAATAAACTAAATTGATAGACTCCTCACAGATTAAACTCTTTAACTCAAGTGTTAAGAATAAGTGTTTTTCCTTGAAGTTGATTCAATGAAAAATATACTACCATAAACTTGCATATCATCTAAACTCCACTACTTATATTACATGCATATGCAAATCAAAAATACTATTCATAAAGTTGTAGTGGGGCTAAGGTAAAAGGTAGAGAAATTATATCAATGTGAAAATGTAAAATCAAGAAATTAATAGAGTATTTGAACATAAAGTCGGATAGATAAAACAATTAGGACTAAGAACCTATTATCCCAAAATTTCAAACACCTATCAATTTTCCTTTTTCAAGCACATAAACAACAACACGAGACAAACATGATGCATTTTCTCTTTCTTTCTTTTTTTTTTTTTTTTTTTTTTTTTTTTTTTTTTTTTGAGCTCAAAAATCAATATGGCCTTAAAATTCCAGAATAGCTCGAAAAAATACAATAGATAAAAACCATAGTTTCGTTGATAAGAAAATTCTAAAACTTTATCACAAATTAAATAACATCTATATTAGTGTAGGTGTCTATGATCTAATCTTATTTAGATGTTTGACTTATTATTATATTGCATTATTTATTTAATTAATAAAATAAGTAATTTTATTAATTCTTTTCATTTATATTTTGATAGAATTAAATAGAAATTCATATGATATGTATTGCATTAATGATTAATCGAAAGATGTGAGACAAGTATTAATACACATAAATGATATTATTAAATGTCTCATGTGACCATAATTGAATAGACTATTAACCAAGTTCAAGATCGCGTTGTCATAAATTGACATGAGGATCGAATTATATGGTAATCATGCTTTATGAATAAATTAATTTTCTTAGAGAATTGGATAATCATGATACCTTACTAGAGACTAATCTTGATTTATTTATCAAGAGATAAAAGATATATCTTTTATTCTTGATATATTACTAAAATATCTTAGAGCCTATTGAGTCACATGCATAAGTTTAAGCATTCACATAATGAAAGAGGAGCAAAGATTTTAGAAAAGGGTTTATAATTTTTAAAGTTTCCTATTTTGAAAAAGGTTTTTGAAAATATAAAGTTTCTTGTTTTGAAATTTGTTTCTAAAATAGGACGTTCTCTTTTTTAGAAATCGGTTTCTTAACTTAGAAATCAATTCCAAATTTCAACGTAAATTACCTAAAAAGAAAATTTGTTTCCTAATTTAGATTTTAGGGTATTTTGGAAATTATTTCCTAATGTGAGCTACTCAAAATATATATATATATATATATATATATATATATATATATATTTAACTAAATTTATATGGATAATCCAAGTTAATCGATAATTAATTAGGCCAAAAGAGTTTGGGTGAATTGGCATAATTTAAAAGTCTATAAGATATATTTGTGGGAGGATAAGCTTGAGCTCTATTGGATAAGATTCATTGTTTATAAGGATAAGATCAAACAAGCCTATTCATATTGCAAGTCATTGTCTTAGGAGGATAAGGATGTTGCCCCTATATAAATAACAAGGAGAGAGGTGGCAAAGATGGCGAGAGAACTAGAATAACTCATGATAAAAAGGAAAGAAAAAGAGAGAAAATGTTTCTCTCCTAAAAGTTTGAGTTTTCGCATCACTTCTTGAAAAGCTTAAGCTATCAAAAAAAAAACTCTTAATTTGATTTATAAAGAAAAGTTAACTATACAAAAAGATTGGCGTTAGTACTCTGTGATTTCTATGGCTTCCTTTATTGATATTTAAGCTACGTGTATTATCGATAGGTTGGACACACGAACTACTCTTTTTTCTATAAAGGCTAAATATGTGCTATAAGAGGTAATCTTTTACTCACATTTTTAATTCATGTATGTATAATTATTTTATTCAATGGCTTGATTTTGGGAGTCATAGATGGAGGAATTATTTTTTTTCGTACCTCCATGTGATGCATGATCCTTCAATTGGTTTAGAGCCTTCATTGAATCTTTAATTATATGCTTTATTAATTATGATTAACTGCATGAATTATCTATCTCTAATTGTACATCTCATATTTTTGGCGTTTTATATTTATTTAGAACTAATTCGGGCTAAGAAATTAGTTGGTACATATGAGGTCAACGTTGGACATTGGAGCTTGTACAAGTACCTTGAAAGCCCGACCTATTGCGCACCGCTAGGCTTTCTAGCTAGGTCGGTTATGCACTAGGCACATGATAGGCGAAGCGTGCTTTATGCACCCTAGGCCTTCGGCCGGGCCATTAGCGTGTTGGGTGCGCGACATGCTAGGTGTTCCTCGAAGCACATCGGGCTTGTTGGCCGAGCTAGTCATGTACTAAGCACATGACATGGTAGGCATGTGCCTATGGCCAAGCCAAGACATACCTTGCATACATCAAGCACGCACTCGGATATGCGCGAGGGCTAGGCAAGCAATAAGCCGGTTGTGTGAGCACGCTAGAGGCCGGATGCCGGGCTAATGCTAGGCACCGGCTCGTGGGCGGCTAGGTTAGTGCAAGGCACTTGCAAGTGGTACCTCTAGGCCAATGGCGGATACTAGCCGATGCTTAGGCATTCATTAGCTAGGGCATGGTAGCCAATAGGCCTCCTATGCCTAAAAGCCAATGGGCCCAAACTAGGCTCGAGGCTTGGAAAGGCCTAGAATTAAAATTTAAAGAAAGTTTAACAATTTTATAAAATGATGCAAAAATGAATTTATAATTATAATTAAAATAAAATATGTTTTATTTATGTAACTCTTATAAAAGAAAAAAAATTAATTGAGATATGGGTGTTTATATTTTTGTGGTTTTAATATTTGGTGTTTATCTTAGAATTGCCACCTAGGC